CTGGGGGGTTGAGTGTTAAAAGGGAGATGATGTCAAGGAGTCCATGTAGAAAAGGAACGGTTGGAAACTGATTGTAGTAGCAATTGTACAATTCTACTTGATGCAATTGAAATATGGAATGATATGTTATATGTTTCAAATCCCAACTAATGGAAGAAAGAAACCCTTATGGAACGGGGATGGGGGGTGGGCTGTTGTGTGTTTGTTGCGTGTAATGTGAGTGCTGGGGACAGGGCCTGTCAAAGCTCTGGTGGGGGTGTTGACCCATGGTTCCTTCTTGACATTTTGTTCTGACATGTGATAAGGGACAGGACCCCCATCAGAACCTTGAGAGAAAAGAAAACTAATTTCATAGTCTGTGTGTCTTCTGCTGATGAATAAGTACTTACCAGCATTCTGCTTTGCCTCTTGCTTGTTCGCAGGGCCTCCTGCAGGAGTTTGACCACCATTTGCTCTCGGCGGCCGAAGTCTGCAAGCTGGCAGCTGCCTTCACCCCTTATACACCCCTCTTTGTTCTCACCGCCATGGTAAAGAAGGGCAGCCCTGACGGTGCCTTTTCCCGAGCTCTCCGGCAGAGCCAGTGAGAGGGAATGGTTAGCTGTAGTAAATAGGCCTGGTGTCACGTGGTTGGCTTGGTGGTAAGGCTCCCTGTATGGAAAGCTTCTATTAGTCCAGGGGTAACTTCTTGGTGGGAACTATGAGATATAACCTTGCTGTGCTTCAGAGTAATGGCTCCTTAGCCTAACTGACCACCAGTCACCCAGGAAATATACATATTTCCTAGATGTCCTTTCAAAGTACATATTCCTAGATTCTCCCCAGAGAGTGAATGCAAATCTCTGGAATTGGTTTTCCCAACCATCTGTCACGTTAAGATACCTCTCCTGTTGTACTGATGCGCCCATTTGGAAAGCACCACTCTACAATGCTGACTGTTCATAAATGAGTGATGTGTTTATGCACAGCAGCCTGGTTTACACAGAGAAACATGCCATGACCATGTCTGGGTCCAGTGCATAGAACCTATGTGCACAAGACAAGAAACAGCAACACATTGATCATCTTTCATCAAAACATATCGGGGCTACAATAGGCCGGTAGTTCAAGGGAATGCCCTACCCTTCCTGCCAATCAATCACACCTATCCCCGCCCCTCCTCCTGATACATCAAAACCATCCGGTTCCTTAATTCAATCTTAAGTTGTGCATTTTCCCAACATTTCCATGGGGCGTTTGTATGCGTTCCTTTAGTGTGTCTATTGTCTGGCCTCTAGACAGGAAACTGGTTCTTCTGATTCACTTCCGGTGTCTGACTCCATTGTCTGAATTTGTATTTTCCTTAGACTATTCGTGGCACGTGCTTACTCTCCTACAGTAGCTCCAATGACTGCCCTCCGGAAATGAAAAGTGTGTATCTGCATGAAGCCAAGGAGGCCTTTGAAATTGGCCTCCTCACCAAGAGAGCTGATGAACTGGTTCCTGGGAAACAGGAGCTCCATACTTTTGTCAAAGCCGCCTTCTGTCTCACCACGGTGCACCAGCGGCTCCGGGGAGACACCGAGGCGGTCGCTGCAGCCCGTGGGCTGTGTGGGGAGGCTGTGGAAAAGTTGTACACATTCAGTACGTCATCGGAGGCTCAGGACCGAGCCGCCCTGTCTCGGGAAATCATGTCTGCTGTCACCCAGGTGAAGGATCATTTACAAGTTGAAGGCTTCCCAAATGTAGAGCACAGTTTAGAACAGAAGGGCAGGTCTTACATCCCAGAGGGCTTCATGAGCTCCTTGGGTAATGCCCTTTTGCGTGGGCAAGTGGATTTCCAGGAAATCCTGGAAGCCTATTCCCAGCACCATACTTCGGTCTGTGAGGTGTTTGAAGGCACTTGCGAAAGCAGCAAAAGCAAACCCAAAGGTAGAGGAGTCTGTGTCACGGCTCTGAAGACAGAAACCCAAAGCGCAGCCACTGTGAGCGCTGCTGATGAGAAACCACCCCGTCAACGAGGCAGAGGAATGTCTTCCTCCCCCGTGCGCAGGAACGGGCCGGAGAAACCGCTGCAGGCTACAGGATGGAAAAACTGGCTCCACTCTGATGCCTTTCGAGAGGCTGTGGATAAAGATGGGGAGATTGAGACGGAGCCACCAGGCTGCACCAACGGCGAGGCCGCTGTTTTGAACACGTCTCTGAATGACAGCCAGACTTCCAGTTCTTGGAGCAAGTTTTCAGGGCTCAGTTCTTCTGCAAGTTGGGAGGAAGCCGATTACGAGGCTGATCAGTCAGATGAAAAAGAAGCTAACAAAGAAGAGCTTGTGGACATGCAGTGTTCTACCGCCTGCTCTGAAGAGCCGGGAAACAAGGCGGGAAACTACGCTGTCACGTACTTGTCGTCAGAGAGTCCCCTTTCTCTGCGGGGGTGCCAGGCTGGCAATGTCGAATCTTCTCAAAGACAACTACCGGGGCCCATGCCCTTGACAACTGTCTCTCCTCCTAATGGAACAGGCGTGTTCTTGACCTCTGCTACAGAGCTATTAAAAGGTGGTCCAGGGGATACCCAGGACGTCAGAAATCTAGAAGCCAGACATGCTTCTGCTGCTCTCAGATTGGCATGTGGTTCCACGCCTTGGACATCCTGTGGTATTAACAGGCCTCAGAACATACCCACATGTTCATTAGTCCAGGTGGAAAACATCTTAGAAGAAAAGGCAGAAATTATCCACAGTGCTGAAGAGAGACATGGGGAAGAGGAGAAAGAAGAAATCAGTACCAGAGATACAGGACCCACATTTAAAAGTGGACCTTTCGGGGTTGGCAGAGAAGACAAGGCAGCAGAAAATCCAGAAGATGTGCCCCTCAACACTGCGAATGTCGTGGATGACTCCATGTCCACATGTAGCTCGTTCACGCCCTACTGGCCTGACCAAAATGATGACCTAGGAAATGGCGGTGGTGGCTCAGCCAAAGAGCAGCCCGTCCACCCTGATGCCCCCACAGTGGATTACAAGAGCCAACTGCTTGACCACCCGGGTGTTCACTCCACGAGTAGATGTGGTCCTCATAGGCTGAAAGCGATGAGGCCACCTCTTGGCCATGGGGCTGAGACTTCTAATTCCTCTGTCAATATTCCTTCCTCCATCCCTAACGAGGACTGCACTACCACAGAGGAAGGGAATCAACCTGGAAACATGCTCAACTTCAGCCAGAACTCCAGTTCATCCTTGGCATGGCGTTCTGGATCATCTGTGTTTTCCAGTGGTTCCTATGATGGGGAGAGCCCTTGGTCCTTCCTGAATTCCAGCGGAAGTTCGTTTGTTTCTTTGCCAGGAAAGACAAGGCAAGAGATCCTTGAAGCGCGTACCCTGGAGCCTGATGACTTTGCAAAACTCTTAGCAGGGGTGAAGCATGATTGGCTGTTTCAAAGGCTGGAGAATACAGGAGTGTTTAAGCCCAGTCAACTCCACCAAGCGCACAGTAAGTAACCCCTATCAATGTAACTGTGATGTGGACCACTTCAACCTCTTGAAAGGCCTAGGCTCCTATTATGCTTTGGGAGTATATAGAGGAATGTATACTCTCTATGGGGCTTCCTCACACTTTTTATGGTGAGTCCTAATGCTTGCAAAGACTAGAAAGTGGTTCAGGTTTAGCTCGTGTTATGAGAACCTGCGGTGAGGAGGTGGGAGGCCATGAAGAAACATGAATCTCAGTGGACTCAGGAAGAGCCCCCAATTGGGGTGGGAAGCAGCTTTGAATGGTCATTGCCAACCATCTCCACAGTCTATCTATATATATCATCTATCTATATCATCTATCTACACATACCATCTATACATATCTTCAACTCAGCATCTATCTTCTCTTTTGATACTCATTACCAATCAGCTGGCTTCACTATTTTTCCCCCTTCAAATTCTAGGGGGACAGGATTTTACCGAGTTAGATATCATTCTTCTGGTGGACAGAGATTTTCACGTCTGCTCACCTCAGAGAGTTCTTGTCAGTTGACGACTGGTCAGGTCCCAACTCCACTTGGATTGAGCAGCTACTTCATGCTTAAGGAACAGCCCAAGTTCACTTCCTAAGCCTGAGTTGGGGCAATCCCACAGTGTCTGATGTGTCTGATAACAACTTAGAATTGGCAAAGAAAAAAAGGGGCTGGGGGGAGGGAGGCTGGGAGGAATATTGAGGAACACTGTTAAGATACTGAATAATTATTTGAATAAGGAAAAATATCTACTGCAAAGTGCATTTCAGAAGAAACAAACTGCATGGTTTGCTAAACACTGGATGCTGAAGCAGTGGCTCCCAGTCCTGCCATCTCAGGAGAATCACTTCGGAAACTTTTAAAAACTTATGATATTCTCCTTCCCTGCTGCCCCAGTCAACCCCACACCTCCCCCTGGAGATTATAGTTTAATGGATATGGCATGTGGAATTGGACGCACTATTGTTTGAGTTCCCAGTAATTCCATAGGAAACCAAGGTGAAGCATTTCCTCTTCAAAGTATTCCAATATTTTAGCTTCCACCTTGGACCAGACTACAATGCAGATAGGTTATTACCAAAAGAAGGAAGTGTTTCAGTACATGGGCTTCCTTACTTACCATATAACACTAAAATCTCAGAATTGCATTATTAGAGTGATATCATTATTTTACAGTTGTGTCCATGTACCAAGTTTTGGGAGAAAGATCGCACTGGGGGCATCAAAAACTGCAGACACACAACAAGTTATACATTCGCTCCTTTCTTCTTCCCTCAAGTCACCCCTCCCGTGTGCCTGCAAGCAGCTCACCTTTCACTGCCATCGCCTTCCATTCCCTGATCGCATTCCCCTCCTGAGTCACCATCTCCCTTTCTTCTGCCCCCATCCTATGGGTCTGCCTTCTTTTAAGTAGTCTTCTCAATCTCTCATAACTCATGCATGAACACAAGCTCCACCCAGAAGGAGTTCATTTGATTTTAACATGGATACTACAATGTTGCATCCCCCTTGGGGATTCATGTTGATCTTTCCCGTCAAAGAAATGCTTTCTTGCTAGGACTGTTCCCCTTTTCTTGCAATAGAGGCCACCTTTACTTTTCCCCTTGTATGTTCTTCTTGCTCAGTGGTGTTTACATCATTGTGTAGTAATTGCAGTCCCTAAACTAATTCCCGGACTTCCTGACTAATGTTAGTCAATCATGGATGTCCAATGCATAGCCTAGGATCTCTGATGTGACCAGGACTTTTCAGGTTAAATTATTTTTATTGATTTCATAGATAATTGCTTCAACTACAGTGAAATTCATGAGGACCAGTGCTCAAAGGGGCTGCCTTATTCTTCCGGGTTTCAAATTTTCTACCTTTTATCGGGTTACCACTTGTATAGCTCTCATTATAGTGGTAAATATTTTACTTCTCTAACAAGTTTACTCCTTACAGGGCTTCTGGCTTTTGCAGATCTTACTGTACTTAGCATTCCTGGGTAATTATGAAATATGTGAGAGTGTATTACTTGTTCCAGGATGGTTTTTGAAGTATGACAGTTTTAAAAATCCTTTCATAGTCCATTACATTCAGACAGGAATCCTGGTCTTGACTACATCTTTGCCATCACAAACAAAGCGTTTTTGTAAATCGAAATCCCATTCTCCATGGCAACAAGGTAAACTTTTGCCTTTGATTGTACTTCATTAAATTTGTGTTCATGACTAGAAGACGCTAGAAGTGGGGAAAGTGCGTCGAGGAGCCAAGGACTTGGGATGGAAATGCTGTGAATCGTAGTCATAGTGTGCCTCCAAACTAAACCCATGCTCGTCATATTGTTTTTCTAGATGCTCTTCTGTTAAAATATTCCAAGAACTCTGAATTGTGGACAGCCCAGGAAACTGCTGTATATTTGGGGGACTACCTGAATGTTAAGAAGAAAGGAAAACAAAGAAGGGCTTTTTGGGTTCATTATCTTCATCAGGAAGAAATTCTGGGGAGGTATTGCTTAAAACTACCTATATCATTCATGTAAAACAAACTAATTTACACTTCTGCTAACAATTCATGAGTGGCTGAAATAGCTGAAAGCAGTGGCCAAAATATGTCTTCTGATTTCCTCTTCCTCCTTCTAATTAATTGATAAATTAATTAAACAGTTACCATGTGTTTAATTAATCCAGTTAATACATGGTTGATTATCTATTGTACTGGATCCTTTATGTACCTATTTTTAAATCCATCAAGGAAACATTATTCACCTGACTGTATAGATTTCTTTAATGTAGTTTCTCGCCATGTCAGAACAAAGATTCTTAAAGACTCTCACTAAAAAATGTGTACAATTTTTTAGTGAGACAATGAAAGTCACATTTTAAATAATTCAGTAAGCCTGCAAGAAGGGCAAGTAAAGCCCCTGAGTCCAGGGATGAAGCCTGTCTCAGGGTGCATGTGATTGCTGACGCTTTGGGACAGCCTCCAGAGAAGTTTGGTGTAGGGGACTGGGGAGAGAACCACTAGTGATAAAACTTACACATTAAATAGAAGGAGTTTGAAGACTCTCCACATAAAGTACTGACCCAAGAATCCTTAGAGAAAAAGTCATCTTGTAAAATCCTACTTCACTGTGGAGCTGGACGATTTTGTTTGGTCCTTTTTCTTGATGAAATCTCACAGGAACATTAGTGCCTCAAGTGATTCTTAATGAGCTTGAGGTATAATTTTGCAACGTGTATGTATTTTAAATGATATCAAGAGATTAAAATGTGCATTGCATTAGGTAAATCTGCTGCATAAGAATTCTTTAGAGTATTGAAAATCAAGGATGTTACTTTGAGGACTAACGTGAGCCTGACCCAAGCCATGTCTTTTTCAATGGCCTCATATGCCTGTGACAGTTGACATTCAGTAAGAAAGACTGAAGAAGAATCGATGCTGGCAAAGAATATTGAAAGTATCACAGGCTGCCAAAAAACAAAAAACAAAAACAAATCCGTCTGGGAAAAAGTACAGCCAGAATGCTTCTTAGAAGAAAGGATGGCCAGACTTCATCTCACATCCTTAGGACGTGTTGTCAGGAGAGACCAGTTCCTAGAGAAGGACATCATGCTTGGTAAAGCGGGCGAGCAGCGAAAGCGAGGAAGGCCCTCCGGGCGCTGGACTGCCACCGTGGCTGCAACAATGAGCTCGAGCACAGGAATAGTTGTGAACATGGCCCAGGCCCCAGCAGTGCGGTGAAGAGGGTCACCATGAATTGGAACCAACTTGCTGGCACCTAGCAATAACAACAACATTAGCCAGAACTTTTCATTTACAGTGGATGCTGTTGTCTACCCAAATTAAAACAACACTTTAAAGGGTCAATGAAGTTGAAGTACTCTTTAAACAGCAAACTTACATTGTAATTTGTAAATTTTTCTTCAAAAAGTTGTTGACAATGGAAAGCACATAAATGCATTTACTGTAAACTTTGCAAGACCAACCACTTCCTTATCATAAATAGCTTTGTTCAATAACACAAATGGCAACTGTACACATGGACTTGTCCAGATAGAATACACAGAAATCAAATGGACTATTATCTGTGTGAAGAAACGAAGGAGAAGCACATTGTCAGCAGTTAAAATGAGGCCAGGGGGTAACTATGGAACAGACCATCAGTTGCTCATATTCAAGTTCAGGTTGAAGTTGAAGAAAATTAAGACAAGTCCACAAGAGCCAAAATATGACCTTGAGTATATCCCATTTGAATTTTGAGAAAGTTAGGAAGAGCCTTAAGGAGATGGACTGACACATGGCTGCAACAATGAGCTCAAGCATCGGAACGTTTGTGGGAGGATATCAAGAGCATCATACATGACGAAAGTAAAAGGTCATTTAAAAAGTAAAGAGAAAAAGGTCAAAGTGGTCAGAAGAGACTGAAACTTGTTCTTCATTGTAGAAGAACTAAGGCAAATGGAAGAGATGTCGAATTCAAAGAGCTGGACAGAAAACGTCAAAGGACAGGTAGAGAAGACCAAGAAAAGACGTATAACGAAATGTTCAGAGATCTAGAGTTAGAAAACCAAATAAGGTAATACTGATTGGCGTAAAGTCAAAAAAGGTGTGTGTCAGGGTTGTATCCTCTCACCATATTTATTCAATCAATAGGCTGAGCAAATAACCAGAGAAGCTGGATTATATAAAGAAGAATGCGGCATTGGGATTGTAGGAAAGCTTATTAACAACCTGAGATAAGCAGATAGCACAACCTTGCTGGCTGAAAGTGAGGAAGGCTTGAAGCACTCGTCGATGAAAATCAAGCATTGCTGCACGGTGGGACAGAGATGAAGCTGTCTTGCTTCCATAAGATCCTGGATGCTGTATCTTTTGATAGCCGGGCACTGTTAGCTTTCTTCACCACATTTGCTTATGCGCCCATTTTGTCTTCATGACAGCACCTGGGACGACACCAAGCCTCATAGGGTTTTGCGGTGTCCACAGCAAAATTGTGGAGCACAGGCTAGCCCGTGACTGAGGTCTAGAGGGTCCATCCTCGAAGGCTCCCACAGCATTCACAAGGAAAGCTCCAAAGAAGCCAAGCTTTGGGTCAGCTTCGTCATCCTTGCTACACTCTGTCTTATGTGTCATCAAATCGATCTGTACTTTTAAAAAGAAAGGCTGATGTTTACCCTCAAAAAAGAAAAAAGAGTTAAAGCCCGGGAAATCTTATATTGGGTCAACTGCCTCAGAATCCACTGGAGAGCAGTGAGTCGAAGTCAGAAAAAGCACAACATGTGTCAAGCACTTGTGCATATCTCCTTTGACCTCCTCTCCCGCACTCTGCAGTGAGTGAAATGGCTTCTGCGTCTCTTCATGCGGCTTCTCTCCATTCACAGATACGTTGGGAAAGAGTATAAGGAGAAGAAGGAGCTCTGGCACCACTTCACTGACGTGGAGCGGCAGATGACTGCACAGCACTACGTGACAGAATTTAATAAGAGACTCTATGAACAAAAGATTCCAACACAGATATTCTATATTCCATCTACAATACTCCTGGTAAGTTGCAGAAAAGCAAGGGGCCGGTGAAACAGGCCTGCACATATGAATTAGGTTAGACTCACCAAACGCACTGCCATCGAGTCAATGCTGACTCACAGCAACCCCTGTGAGTGTTGGAGACAGTAAAAAAAGCCCAGTCTTCTCCCTTGGAGCTGGTGGTGGTTTCAAACCACTGACCATGAGGACCACAGCCCAACAAGTAACCACTATAATATTGGTGCTCCTTGCGCATTAGGGTAGATTTCTATTACCCACCTGTTCACCTCCACTTCATTCTGCTGAAGCCCATAAACTCAGTTACCAGTCTCCTCTGCTTTATCTGCTTCAGCTACTTAGAGATGCAAGAAATATGACACCCTCCCACCTTGAAAGAACGCACCTGTGCGGATCTTCCCTTAAATATCAATCCAACCTGGTATGTGATCGCACTTGGTCAAATTAACATATTTACTATACTTTCCTCTTGCATTGTCTCCGTGCCTTCTCAGAAAATACTGTAAAGATCATATATAATATAAATTATCCCCACAAAAAGATGCATCAATCCCATTTTACATGTGTTAGTCCCTGTCTCTTGTAACCAAGAGACTACTAAGCCTTTAGTTAAAAATTTTAGTGTGAAAAATTACTACCATTTTACATTCAAATAATTCTAATTGTTAGGAAGTTATTTGGTTTGATTCACAGTTCTAATTTCTCTCTATGGATTACAGCTCTGCCTTCTGGGACCATTGAGATTAATCGCTTTTCCCCAAGATAGTGCTTTAAATATATGTTTTCTCTCTTTTGAATTAAAAGTGCTCTGCTCTCCCAAGTATTAGCTAATTTATGCATACATGGTTAAACACAATAAAGTCAATAAACATGGATCAGAGCTATATTAGACCTATATTTTATTATTCATAATTATAATAATAGTGATCATCAGTTTTGCACCTATGTCAAAATTTATTCAATGGCAAGGGGTTGTGTTGTTGCTTTGCTTTATTTGTGTTTTTTTATGTGTAGCATTGCATTATGCCAGGCATTTTATAAACATCAACTCTAACTTTTTAAACAAATGGCCCAAATGCTTGAGCTGGAATTCTAACCCAGGGTCCAGTGTGTGATCTAGATGCATTCGCTGGCAAGCCAGGATGCAGGTAACCTAAAGTCCCAATATTTAAATGAGCCTGTTAAGAAAAGAATGGTAGTAATTTTAGGTTGTAGCATATACCAAGAACGTCATGCTTGGTAAAGTAGACCAGCAGTAAAAAGAGGAAGACTGTCCAGGAGAGAGATTGACACAGTGGCTGCGACAGTGGACTACCACGTGACAACTGTGAGGATGATGGAGGCCTGGGCAGTGTTTTATTCAGTCGTACATAGGACAGCTCTGAGTCAGAACTGACTCAATGTTACCTAACAGGAACATCATGTACCATACACAATAGAAGCACTTGATATGTATTTCTCAGACAATCCACTAACAATCCTTTGGAGTAGCTCTTATTTAGCCCTATTAGAGATGAGGAAACTGAAATTTAAGTTCAATAACCGTGCTCCCAAGTGGCAAAGCCTAGGTGCAAACCAAAAGCTACTTAACTACATAGCCCAAGGCCTTTACTCTAATGTTCTACTTGCTCCCCATTTCTGTTTTCTGTTTCTTTTGTTTTTCAGATTTTAGAGGACAAGACAATAAGGGGATGTATCAGTGTGGAACCGTATATGCTGGGAGAATTTGTAAAATTATCGAATAACACGAGAGTGGTGAAGACAGAATATGAAGCCACTGAGTATGGGTTGGCTTATGGCCATTTTACTTATGAGTTTTCCAAACATAGAGATGTGGTGGTTGATTTGCAAGGTATGTGGAAAACGGGAATCATTTTTTTTCAATTTTAATATGTAGGTGTGAGCTTGAGAACTAGTTGTGCCAGCCATTATTGAATACACGGTCCCAGTTTTTATTTAAGTCATTCACTTTCACTATCTGTAGCACTTGATGCTGAAGAAAATGTCTAAATCTTCTATAAGAGCTAAGGCTACTGCTGTCCAGTCGATTTTGATTCACAACCACCCTAGAATCCTGTGGCTGTAAACATTTCTGGGAGCAGATAGTCTCGTCTTTCTCCTGAAGAGCACCTGGTGGGTTTGAAACACTGGCTTTGGCGTTAGCAGCCCAATGTCAAGGGTCTAAGAGGTATCACATTATCACCAAGAGGATCTGATTCACATTCTGTTTGGCTTAGTTACACACACACACACACACACACACACACACACAATGCATAACATCCCCTACGCCATGTTCGATTAGAACTGAGTGATAAAGATTTTTCATGATTGCCTTTTTTGATGTGTGATGAATTGCTAGCCCTTTCTCTTCCCCAACTCTTTATTCTTATTCCAAGTGTCGTGGTGGCTTTCATAATCACAGTCATTATGGAATCGAAAGTTATGTGTATTGCAATCTGACTTTGTAGCATATTGATGAATGCTCTTCTTTTGTTTCTAATGTGGCATTTCATTGAACAGAATTTTTATGAACCAATAATCTACATTGGTGTGGTTAAGCGCCATCAAGTCAGTTCCAATTCAAAGCAACCCTAGGCAAAACTGGGAACACTCCTGGATCCTGCGCCCTCCTCACACTTGTGCTTCTGTTGGAGCGCATTGTTGCACCACTGTGTCCATCCATCTTTTCCCCTGACCCTCTCCTTTCCCAAGCATGATGACCTTCACCAGGGAATGATCTCTCCTAATAACATGTCCAAAATACGTGAGGTGAAGTCTCTCCATCATTGCCTCTAAGGAGCATTCTTCTAAGACATATTTGTTTACTCTTCTGATCATCCGTGGTCCTTTCTACGTGCTTTGCCAACATCAGAACTCAAATGCGTCAACTCTTCTGCAGTCTTCCTTATTCAATGGCCAGCTTTCATAGGCATAGGAAGCAATCACTAATGCCATGGCTTGGGTCAGGGGCACGTTAGTCCACAAATTACATTCTTGCTTTCCAACACTTGAAAATGGCTTGGTGCATCAGATTCATCCAATGTAATATGTAGTTTGATTTCTTAACTGCTGATTCCATGAAAATCGGTTGTGGATCCAAGCAAGATATAATCTTTGACAACGGCAGTAGTTTCTCCCTTCATCATGATACTACCTATTGCTACAGTTGTAAAGATTATGGTTTTCTTTATATTGGCTTCAAATCTCAAGGTTACTGTCCTTGATCTTCATCAGAGAGAGAGCAAGGTTATGTCATATGCATATCATAGGTTGTTAATAAGCCTTTCTACAATCCTGATGCTGTACTTTTCTTCAAATAGTTCCATTTCTGAGATTATATGCTCAGCATACAGATTATGTGTGGTAAGAAGAGAGAACCCTGATGCACACCTTTCTTGATTTGAAACCATGCAATATTCCATTATTCTGTTCACATATCTGCCACTTGATCCATGTACAGGTTTCACAAGAGCACAATGTAGTGTGGGATTCCCAATCTTCTCAAGACTATCCATAATTTGGATAGCCAAATTCCTTTGCACAGTCAATAAAAGACAAGTGAACACCTTCCTGGTATTCTCTGCTTTCTGCCAAGATCCACCTGGCAGCAACAATAATATCGCTTGTTCCACATCCTCTTCTGAATTTCGCCTGATTTTCTGACCACTCCTTGTGAATATACTGTTGCAACCATTGTTGAGTGATCTTCAGCAAAATTTTACTTGCATTTGATAACAATAATATTGTTCTATAATTTTCTCACTCTGTTGGGACAATTTTCTTTGGAAGGGTACAAGAAAGAATTTCTTCCAGTTAGTTGATCAGATAACTGTTGTCTTCCAAATTTCCTGGAATAAGTACTTCCAGTGCTTCATCAGCTTGTTGAAACATTTCCATTGGTATTTTACTAGTTCCTAGAGCCTTGTTTTTAATTAATGCCTTCAATGCAGCTTGGAATTCTTCCTTCAGTACCAGTGATTCTTGGTCATAGGCCGCTAGCTCTTGAAATGGTTGAATGTTGATGAATTGTTTCTGATACAGTGGCTCTGTGTATTCTTTTCATCTTCTTTTGATGTTTCCTGCATTGTTCAATATTTTGCCCATAAAATCTTTCAATATTCTAAAGTGAGGCTTAAATTTTTCTCCAATTCTTTTAGGTTAAGATGTGCTGAGTGTTTTCTTCCCTTTTGGGTTGTTAATATGCCTCCCTACAGGCCTAATGCTAGATTCTCCTTCATATAGTCCAGCTACTCAGATTATCTGATCACAGTACAGGTTGAACCAATGTGGTGAGAGGACCGCCAGATAAACGCTTTTCCTGATTATAAGCCACGCAGTGGTCCCTTGTTCTGTTCAAATGGTTGTACAGGTTCTCCGTGAGCACAAGGAAATATTCTGGAATTCTAATCCTTCTCAATGTTATCCATAGTTTGTTATGATCCCCAGAGAAGAATGCCTTTGAACAGTCCATGAAATACAGGTGAATATCTTTCTGTTTTCTACTTGGATAGCCCCAAAACATTGAAAGATATTACAGACCTTGAAATCGCAGCAGAACACTGTCAGATATAGTGCCAGAAGACGAGCCCCTCGGATCGAAAAGCTCTCAAAATACGACTGAGAAAGAACTGCGTTATCATGATAGAGTTGACCATAATGACATGGATGGAGTAAAGCCTTTGGGACCTTAATTGCTAATGGAGCATGACTCAAATGAGGAAAAATGTATAGTAATATATGATCGAGAGCCAGTGGTACTGAAGGAAGAAGTTCAAGCTTCCCTGAAGGTAGTTAGTAAAAAGCAACGCACCTGAAACTGGTGGAACACTGATTAAAGTGCTTCAGCAAGCTGATGAAGCACTGGAAGCACCCACTCTCCAGAACCAAGAAATTTGGAAGACAGTTATTTGGCCAACTGATTGGAAGAGGTCCGTATTTGTACCCATTTCAAAGAAGAATGAGCACATTATAGAACAATATCACTGATATCACCACATGCATGTACAATTTTACTGAAGATCATTCAACATTGGTTGCAGTAATATATTCACAAAGAACTGTTAGAGTTTCCGCCAAATTCAGAAGAGGATGTAGAACAAGCCTTATCATTGCGGCTGTCAGATGATGGATCTTGGCTGAAAGAGGAGGATTTCAGAAAGATGTTTACCTGTGTTTAACTGACTATGCAAAGACATTCAACTGTGTGAACCATACAACCTATAGATAGCCTTCAGAAGAGTGGAGATTATAGAACACTTCATTGTGTTCATGTGGAACCTGTATATGCATCAAGAGACAGTTGTGGGAACAGAATAAGGTAGTACTGCACAGTTTACAATTTTTTAAAGGTGGGAATCAGGGTTTTATCCTCTCGCCATACTTTTTCAATTGTATTCTGAGCATGTCATCTGAGAAGCTGCACTATATGAAGTAGAATGCTGCATCAGGATTTTAGGAAGGTTTATACTGCATCGGGATTTTAGGGAGGTTTATTAATAAATTTGCTTTCTAAAAATGAAGAGGACTTGAAACACTTGCTGATGAAGAGTAGGGATGCCAGCCTTCAATACAGATTACAACTCAATGTGAAGAACATAAAACTCCTCCCAACTGAGCCAATCATCATGATGAACAGAGCAAAGACTGAAGTTGTCAAGAATGTCATCTTGCTGGGATCCACAATCTGTGCTCATGGAAGCAGCAGTCAAGAGATGAAATGACACATTGCATTGAGGAAATCTGCTGCACAAAACCTCTATAAAAAATTGAAAAGCGTGTGGCAGAGCAATGG